ATCATCATCATCATCAATCGTCGTCGTCGTCATCATCATCATCATCATCATCATCATCATCATCATCATCATCCTCATCCTCATCATCATCATCATCATCATCGTCATCATCATCATCATCATCATCATCATCATCATCAGCATCATCATCATCAGCATCATCATCATCAATTTGCCCCTCCTCCTCCTGCTCCTCCTCCCCCTCCTCCTCCTGCTCCTCCTCCTCCTCCTGCTCGGCGGCTATCTGCACAGCATCCTCGCGGCCAGAGCGTGCGAAAGCCGAGGGGCCAAGGAAGCGAACCTGCGCGCGAGCTTACAGGGCACTGAATGCTGCACAGCATCCTCGCGGCCAGAGCGTGCGAAATCCGAGGGGCCAAGGAAGCAAGCCCGCGCGCGAGCCCGGAGGGCACCGGATGGCGAGGAGAAGCGGCTTCGACGGGGCAAGCCCCAGAGACGGCCTGCCCCTGACGCTGGCGCTAGCGGCGGCCCTTATGCGACATCTAGCTGCAACCGCCGATGCCCCGGCCCTGGCCCCAGGCAACGCTGAGGGCGAGGAGCACGACGACATTGCGGGAGGAGCGAGCCGTCGTCGTCGCCGTCGCCGCCGCCGCCGTCGTCGTCATCGTCGTCGCCGTGGCCGACGACGAACAGGAGTCGAGGATTCAATGCGGGATTTCGGACTGTTTCGAAATTGTTTAGGCCTTCCAGGAGCGCCCGCATGGCCACGGCTGGATCCGCCTCGAAATTCTGGGCAGAACGCGCCACCGTCGTCGTCGCCGTCATCGTCATCGCCGCCATCGTCGCCAGAGCCTGCCCACGACAAGGCAGCAGGGACCTCTTTGGAAGCTGAGTCCGGCTGTGGCCGCCGCCGGAGGTGGGGGGGAGCGAGACGATGCCGACAAGGTTGGCGCCCGGACCCCTCCCAGGGCGCGCCCTGACCAGCGCCTCGAGGCGAACCCGTCCGTGGCGACGAGGGACGCGCAGCGGCATCGGCACCTTGCCCTCCTCTGAGAGGCGCCGCCGCCGAGGGCCGCCGAACGGCCGCCGTCGAGGGCCGCCACCGCCGCCCGCGAGGCACAGCGCGACGCCGCCGAGGGCCGCCGAAGGGCCGCCGCCGAAAGGCCGCTGCCGAAGGGCCGCCACCGAGGGCCGCCGAAAGGCTGAGGGCCCCCCAAGAGGCCCAAGAAGGGCGCAGCACGACGCAACTCTTGAAAATCGTCGCCGTTGCCGCCGCCGCCGCCGCCGTCGTCGTCGTCGGCTCCGCTGGGGTCCGTGCAAACAAACTTCTGTGGTGCCTCCAGGGGCTCCAGGCCCCAGGAGACATCTGGAGGCGTCCGGGATCCAAAACAGCAGATTCTCTGCAGTGGCGACTCTACACTTCATTCTCGACGCTCAAACGTCATGTTCGCCATCGTTATCGTTATCGTCGGTTCTGGAGCCTCTCCAGAGACCAGAAACGTTTGATAAACTTCGCCCCCCATCCTCGACCGTCGTCGTCGCGGTCGCCCATCGCCGCCGTCATCGCCGCCGCCCATCGCCGTCCTCGCCGCCGCCGCCCATCGTCGTTCTCGTCGTCGCCGCCGCAGCCGCCGTCGCCGCCCATCGTCGCCGTAGCCACAGGTCGGGCCTGTCCCCCTACAGGGGGATGTTGGACGAAAAATTAAAAATACCCCCCCCTAAAAAAAGCTCCAAAATTGTAAAAACAAAAAAAAAAAAAAAAAAAAAAAACGTCCCCGACTATTTTTTGACTATTTTTGAACACTCTCCCTGTAGGGGGACAGGCCCGACTTAACCGAAGCCGCGGTCGTCATTGTGGTCGTCGTGGTCGCGGTCGTGGTCATGATCCTCATCCGTTTCCTGCTCCTCCCCTCCCTGTGAAGACGAATGGGATAGAGCCGTCAGGGGGGAGGGCGGATGGATGAGGATGGAAGGAGGGTTAGATCGGGCGTGTCCTGCAACAAGCGGCTTTGGGACGATCTATACATAACAAAGTAAAGTATAATTGTACATATGTATAATCCCAGACACAACAACAACAACAACAACAACAACAAGGTCGACACGTGCACTGCCCACCCGTCCACTGCCAGACAGTCCACGCCTTAACCCACTGGGCGAACACGTGGACAGACGATCCGTGGACCCACTGCCCCCCCCCAACACCAACACCAACACCAACACCAGTTCCATAGAATCCCCACGGAATCCATAGAATCCCTGAGACCACCCTTACACACCTCCACAGATTCCTGCGACTGGAAACGATGTGCGCACCGGCGAAGCTACCTTCGGGCATCCTTCGGAATCCATGCGGAATTCTAAGAATCCCTAGAGAATCCCTGGGGAGTCCCTGGGGATTCCTAGGATCCTACACGCCCTTGTACGGGATCCTATACAAAGCCTACACTGAATGTACGGGATCCTATACACAGCCTTCAAGGCCTGTGTGGGATCCTATACAGAGCTTACACGCCTTGTATGGGATCCTATACGGGGCCTACACGCCCTGCATGGGATCCTACAGAGA